GGCTCCTTCCCTTAGAAGTCCGGGACCGTCTCTTGGATCCAGTCAAGTCTCCGGTCATGTCTGGTGTCTGCTCTGGAGTTTGCACGAATGCTGTGCTGAGTTCCTCCTCTTCTGGTGCTGTGGGTGTTTGCAAGGCCTTGCCTGGTGACTGCTGAAGTTTCCTGAGTGAGGAAACTGCTTTCACATCCATGTTTCCCACACGTGTCCTGGGCTGCCTTTGTGTGCTTCCTGGGGTTCTGGCTGTTGTTGCCTGTGGTGCTTCACGGGTCCTTTTTGTGGTTCTGTCAGTAATCACCAAGTCCTTGGAAAGACCTGGTGTTTGGAGGAGCTCCTGGAAGCCAGCCAGGTCTTCGAGTTGAGTCTTCTCTTTAGGTGTCTCCTGTTGTCTCTTGCTACCAGTTACATTTCCTACTGGATGTACTATCTGCTTTGCAGGTTCCTTCAGAGCTCTGATGCTTGTGACATCTGGCTGTGTGACTTTGAGGGTATGTGTGTCCCCCACTGACATGTGAGCAAACTTCCTTAATGCTGAGAGCTCGCTGGCATCCATTTTCCTACTCGGTGTGACTGGCTGTGCTTTTGTGCTTGTTGGCATAGGCTGTGGAGATTTGCGAGGTACTTTAGCTTTCTCATGAGCCATGGGCTGACCTGGTGTTTGGAACAGTTCTGCGAAGCCGACCAGGTCTTCCAGAGGTTGGGTCTGCTTCTTAGGAGTTCTTGATCCCTTCTTCACCCTAGCTGCACACGCAGCTGGGTCCCCGTGTGGTCTGGGAGTGCTTGGTGTCAGGTTCGTGTGCGTGGGCTGATGTGACATGTGGGGGGCATCCTCGTTGCTGTCCTCTGTCTTCGGTGGTCTCTTTCTGGTGTTTGTGAGATCAGCTCCTTGGGAGGAACTATCTGTTCCGGTGGTTTGGTCGGCCTCATTTTCTGGTTCCTTGGCATGGGCTGGTGTACCCAGGAGCTCTTTGGGTCCAAGTTTCTGCCCCTCGCTTCTTGATCTCCTCACAGTTGTCACCTTTGCTGAACTTTCTGTTGATTTGTCCCTTTCCCTGCCAGTTTCTGCAGATCCTGCGCTGTCCTCGCCCTCCACCTTCCGTACCCGCAGCGGTGTCTTCCTCAGGGATGTGTCCGTGACGCCCTCAGCTGGGGGTCCTTCGGTTCCTCCATTCTTACTTCTCACAGGTGGCGTCTGTGAACTCCGGAGCTCCCTTGATTGTCTTAACCTGCTGGCACTGGGTACTGTGTTCAGAGGCTCCTTCACAGCATCTGGAGTTTTCCTTTCCGGGTGAGTCGTTTTAGGCATATTCTGGGGAGTCTTTGCGGTGCTTCTGTCTTCTCTGCTCTGCTGTTTTATGGTGTGGCTTTCAGAGCATTTATCAGATGGCTCCCGTGCTGAGTTCTGAGAACTGAACACAGTTTCTTCTAAAAGAAATAAAAATGCATACAATAAGCATCTTTGCTGCACTAGATCCTTAATGTGATATAATTAGTCAGTTTCATCATCTGCTTTGATAAGAACAGGCTACCAATCCAATCCTAAATCTGTCGTAGTTATGTTCCACACCACCCGTAAGTATAAATTTCTTTCTCAACATGGGGAGGCCCTCACGAAGTTGTGCTCAGAATCTGGAGTGATTACTTGAGGGGAAAACCAGACTTTAGAAGAGTCTTCTGAAGGCTGCCATGCTGCAGGGCACTGACCTGAAACCAGGCAATTTTTCTTTGCACATTAGAAAGTTACAACTATTTCTTGCCTTCATCTCCAGGGAAGTGGCAGGGCCTGTACTGTGTATGTGCAAGAACCACACTGTTCAAGGAACATCTCACTGTTAGCACCAGCAAGCACTGGCAGGGTAGCAAGCGATTCCTTCTGCCCAAGGCCAAACAGGAAGGTAAGGAAATACATCCCTAGCCTCACACACTCTGTCTCCTCCTGTTTACCAGAGCAGATGAGTAACTCAGCAGTTTGAAAGGTACTATCTTTCTTTTGTATAAGTGCACATTTTCTATTTGGTAATTAACATCAATATGATAAGATGCCAGTGTACTTCTCCACATTATCATCCTCTTAAAACTAAAAGCATACAGAAATCATCATCACCAAAGAACTTGGGCTGTCTCTGTCTGTTAGTAGATGCCAGTATTAGTTCAACTCAAATGGCATTTTACCAGGGACGTCTGCTGTAGAGAAGGAGCAGAGAGTTGTCTGTGATGGAACAGGGCCCTCAGCAAGTCCTGGGCAAAAGGAGAAAGGTGCTAAGAAATAAAATAGGCCAACCCCAAGTCTCGGAAGTGGTGCACAGAGGATTTTCTCCTGAATTCACTGCTTGAAACTGTTTTCCAGTCAAGTTCTCTGGACTGGAAAGAGTGAAGGAGCCGGGGCCAGTCGTCTGGGGCTTCTCCTTCACTGGTGTCTTGAACAATTCAGTTATCCCTGATAAATAAGAACATGAAATAGATGTGTATGTATGTAACATAGGTATGAAATATAACATGACATGAGGTCACCTCACACAGAATGAACTACAGGACAGTTGGTCCATGGGAGTTGAATCCGTCAAACAATGAGAGGACAGCCAGAGGAAAACTTAGCCAGACCCCATCTCAATAAGAAGCTAAGTCTAGTGGTACGTGCCTATTAACCCCACCTGTACAGGAACACAGTACAGGCCTCACTCGGGCATAAATGAGAGACCCTAGCTGAAAAATAATGAAAGCAAAAAGAAGTGGGCTGTGGCTCAAGCGGTAAAATGCCTGTAGCAAGAACAAGGGCCCTGGGCGGGAAGGGATGGGAAGGGGAAACAAAGGAGGAGGCTACAATGCTTGATAGGAAATGTACTCATTAGCTTGCCCATGTAATTGTAACCCCTCTGTACAGTATTTTCATAATAATAAAAAAAGGAAAAAAAAGAATCAATGTGGGGGTAAAACCCCATTATGTCAACTACTTAACATAAAATAAACTTTAAAACTTAAAAGAAAAAATAAAACAAGAGCCCTGAACTCAAACCCCAGTACAACAACCAACAGCTCATTTATCTTCAAGTTATCTTTCATCGTTTACACTTTAACATTTCATAACTTCTATATCAGTACATCATAGATATTCACAATTTGTAAGCATACGCACACATACTATCTAGCTTTGGTTTTGTATTTTGTTCTTCTTTAAAAGGTAAATGTTAATCGACCCAAACACAGCTCTTGTTATAGGCTGCTTGGCACACGTTATACAGACAATGCATTATACTGAAGGGTTTAATGACTTGCTACTCCTCATCTGCCATGAAATAAGACTCTGTGTACCCAGTTCTAATCTGACCTCCCTCCCGAACTGGACAGAGTGAAAGCATCAAGCACACCGTGACACACAGCCACAGGGGCCTCCTTGCCTTCAGGGCCAGGCAAGCATGAGGGAGAACAAAGTCGGGATCATTCCATCACTAGCAGCTTCAGAGAACTTTCTCACAGCGCCTCCCTTCAAGTGATGGCTATGCTCCTCAGAACGACTGAAACTGGATTGCTTTCTCTTGCCTGGTTCTAATACAGATTCAGAATCCATCGAAGATCTCCATGTGAGAAACTAGAAACTCGACTGGAAAGAACAAGGGAAAAATCTAGAATATATTGGCATAGGAGGTAGCTTTATAAATAGAACTCCCCAATAGTTCAGCAAATTAAGAACATGGATTGACAAATAGCTGTCCAACAAAAAGGTGACATAGGCAGAGACTTAACCAATAGGTGGGGAGCACCAGCAGGGCCAGCGCGACCTTACAACTAGACAGAAGAGCCTGAAGGATGGAGAAAATCAGCATGGAGAAAATCTTTTCCAGCTATCTATGAGAGAATAGGTGTAGCTCAAAGAACTAACCTAAGCGGACTGCTTGCTCACACCAAGAGTCCAAGGCTGAACTCTTAGGATCAAAGTTCAAAGCCAGCCCAGGCAGTCAAATGTGGAGGACTCTTATCTCCAATTAACCAGCAAAGAAACTGCTCGAAGTGGAGGCAGGGCTCAAATAGTGAAGTGCCAGCCTGGAGCAAAAAAGCTAAGTGGAAGCCCCAGTACCAGCACAACAAACAAAAAAAGAACACAATTCCCAAAGAATCAACAACTCAATAGGTGGGCAAATAAACTGAACAATTCTCGAAAGGACAAAACAAATGGTCAATAAATATGGAAAGAAGGTGAATCTTGAAAAGCCAAGTATTGCTCTGAAATAACGAGTCCCACTTCTGAGATAACCATTAGTGTGACAGCAGTGTCACATGAGAGCCTGCCCCTGCCCCATGGAAAAGCATTCTCCCCACCTCTCCAGACGAAATGTATGCATTGGAACCACCTCCGCAGAACACAACCCTCAGAGCAGACAGAGACCTGTCCTTGTACTCCATCCAGCTTTGTATCTTCTGTGCCCACGCTCTCAAGTAGACAAAGATAAGTGGCAAGCATCAACAATGTCACAGTTGACAGCTCAGGCTGCTCACCTGACAGATCTTCACTGTAGTCCATTTTTCGGTTGAACACAAAGCTGCTCAGCATCCTGGAGGGCCGAGCAGGAATGCTGACCTTTTCGGTCTGAGCTTTCCCAATGACAATGGTACAAGGGGAGTTGGCATGGCCGGTGCTGAACTGACGGCAAACGCTGGCTGTAGGCTTCTGTAGAAAATAAGTAAGGAAGAGGGGGTAAGGTGTGAAAGCATAGACACACTCGGGACAGGGTCATGTGACAGCAGTGACTAGTGCGGACAAGCAAGGCGGCGCGGCCGCCATACCTTCGGGGTGCTCGGCTTCCTCTGTCTTCTGCCCACAGGCTTTGGAGGACCGTGCTTCGGCACTCTCACCTGCGTCTGTTTAGCACCAAGTTTCACGACATCTGCCCACGATTTTGCAACTGTCAAAGGGAAAAGATGGGGATGCTGCTCAGCCTGGCAGGGCCTCGGGCACTGACTTTCAAATGTGCCTGCCACCGCCACTCTCACCGATGAGGTTGGCCTCTGACGCTCCGCTTCTTCTCTTGGAACAGATCCTCTGCAGGATGTCATGCTGCCCGCGGCTGATGGATGTCCGCTTGGAAGACGAGCCGGCACTCTTCCTCCCCGCTCTCTTAGGAGTGTCTGTCTGTCCCGGGGAGCCGCCGACCCCAGAGGCAGTCGAGGCCTTGCCTGATCTGCGTCTTTGGCCGTTTACCCCAGGCTGGGTTACTCCAGGACTAGAAGCCACAGCGCCTGTGCACACATCCTGCGCTGTGACCTCCACACAGATTTCTGAAGATTCTTCTTCCCCAGATGGGGGCTGCTCCTGACAAGAGTCATATTTTCATAAGAAACTTTGCCAAACAACTAAGATTTCCACAATGCCTGTCACCAACCTATTCCACAAGGCATGGCACATGATTTCAGGATGGGTGTGGTAGTTCAAGCATGTAATTCCAGCTATGGGGGTGTGTGTGAGGGGGGGGAGGAGTGAGAGGGGGATAATAGACAGGGATCAGTTCAAGGCCAGACAACCCCTATAACAAGAAGCCAGGTGTGCAACTCATGCCTGTAAATATCTCAACCGAGGAGCCAGGTGCATGACTTCACACCTGTAAGTTCCAGCTACAAGGGAGGCAGAAATAGGAGGATTGTCATGTGAGGGTGACCTAGGGGCGGGAAAAAAAAAAAAGAGTTCAAAGGCTACCTGGAAAACAGGCAAGCATACCACAATGAAGACATGGATCATGCACAGAGTTCAAAACCCCAGTACAAAGAAAAGTATCTAAGATTTATCTTGAATCAATAGATATTTAAAACCTGTCTTCCAACCCTAAAGAAGTCAGCTATCCCACTCATTTTTTAATCTTTTTGGCAGACCTGGGTTTGAATTATTATTTGGCAAGTGCTCTACCAGGTAAACACAAACCCAGTCATTTTTGTCTTACATTTGATGTTTTAGGTAAGGTTTCAGTTTGCCCAGGGCTGGCCCAGATCCACAATCCTCCTCTGCCTGCCTAGTAGTTAGGATTACAGATGTGCACGGCCAAGCCCAACTCTGTCTGTTCATTAAGGGAAGAGCAGGACAACACAGCATTGGTTGAGTCTAAGTTGAGATCTTCTGGATGAAGTGTGGAGAGAACACGTGCTCATTCCAAGGAGGAACTCTGACCGGGTCCCAGCAACTCCAGCTGCAGGTTCCAGTTCTGAGCTGACATTACAGGGAAGGAGAATGCAGGAAAGCGTTCAGAGTACCTTCCATCTCTGTTCCATAGCAAGAGGCAATAAAGCCTTCCCGGGCGCTGTGAGGAAGGTGATCTCTGTGGACAAATGCCTCTGGGATCTAAAGCCAAGGGAAGAAGCCAGGCCAAGCAATAGATGGCCAAAGGGCTAAGAGTGGCCTATGTAGAGAGGCGGCTGGACTGCCAGATTCCCCTTCTCCACAGTTAAAATGCTTTAATTGTAGCTCACAAACCTAAAAGGAAACAGAACACTCCTTGTATTTGCATGGGGCCACGTTGCAATGCGCCAGGGGGTCATGCAGCACTACAGTTATCAGGATGTTCCCCATGGAAGGAGAAAGTGCAGGCACCTGCTGAACAGTGACCCCGCCCTATACCCCAGAGCCTAAGTTCACCTCCCGGTGCCCAGGGTGCTGTCTTCAAATTACCAAAAAAAAAAAAAAAAGAACCCAAAAAACATCTAAGACCTGGGTGTGGTTCTACCTTGGGGTGCTGGCAGGGAAGAAGGGAAGAGGGGAAGAAGGGAAGAGAAGGGAAAGGTAGCGGCAGAGAGAGCCACCAGCAGTGAGGAGCACAGTGGTCAACAAGTGTGGCGACTCACCTTGATGATCTTCTTCAGGACAGCCGGCGTGTGGGTGACAGGCAGCTTCCTCTTGCTTGGTGTTTCTCCTCTTTTGAGTGGTGTATTTGGAGGCAAGTTCTCATCGAATAATTCAGGTCTCAGACGACCACCAAAGGACACACGTCTTCTCTTCAAAGAGGCTCCCTCGCTCTTGTCTAAATGAGTACACAAATGAGAAATGAGCAATTTAAAAAACAAAAAAACCTATACCAGGACTTACAACTTATTTCAAAGTAGCACTGGAAAATAACCCACTCGAAAAATGCACAGAAACCAGACAGCTTCATTCTCACAGAATAGTGACGAAGCCAGAGCAAGCCAGAGACTCAAGTTCCAACTGGACAGTAATGCCACATGACATGTGTGGCTCAAGCTAATGACCAGCCTGCAGGAGTGGCCGGCCCTGCGGAACAGACAATACCAACAACTTTACTAACAGACTAAAAAAACTTCCTAGGACTCGTACACGGGCCTGGCCCCGACCTGCCAGTGTGAGCTGCAATGTCTCCAGCCAGCAATCAATTCATGCAGTCCCACACAAGGTCATGAGCCACCAGTCAGCACAAATCTCCCATCGCGGTAAGGCTCAATGGAACATACTTGCACAGCAGGCCACGTGTGAAGAGGGGACCTTGCTAAGACTAAAGCAGGGGACCGCTCCTCTCTGTGTGCAGAAAGAAGCCACACCTACGCCAACCACTGTGTGTCCCCGCGCTGTCACTTTCACATTTGCAACAGGGAGATGAAGATTCCCCAGTAACTGATTCCAAACTGAACCCGAAGGAGACAGTGGACTGGGTAGGGCAGCCGCCTGTAGGTGAGTACAGATGCTAAGTGGAAAGCCATCTGATTCTTCTCCTTACTGATTTGGGACAGATGGAGAGGAGACCCCATGTCTTTGGGTGCCCCCATCCTTCCGACTGGCCTCACAATGTGGTTCTCTAAGTGCCGGGACACCTCCTCTAGCCTCAGAGGTCTGAGTCCCCTCCCGTCCATTGGCTGAAAGGTGAGCACACTTCCTATCACCTGCTCTAAGTGTATTCTTCACCAGAGTTGCCATGACTGATTGATGGTCTCCTCAAGTCATACCTCTATATACATGGTGGGTATTAATCTTTTGGGGGGAACAGATTTATAGTTAAATAAACTTACTAATGGAATCACCAAAGTTGCTGATATCAACTGAACTAAGACCAGGTAACCCAGAGCCAATCTGTCCGGATTTCACAGCCAATTTGTTGGGCTCATCAAGGAAATCCTTTGGAATCTTGCTTTCAGTGCGAGGAAAGCACTGAGTTACAAAAGGCTCCTTTCTGACTTCTGGAGAAGGCCTTTCTGCCTCTGCAGGAACGCTTCTGCTTCTGGAAGAGAGACTGTCTGGCTGACCGGCGGGGCTGGCAGTGGCCCCCGCAATGGCTGATGGGCGATTTCCAGTCAGGCGCCTCCGAGGAGTGACAGGTCTATCAGCTGACCCAATGCCTTCACCTGGGCCCAGATTCACAGCCTCTCCTCCAGTAATATACGGGCCTGTGTCCTTTCGTGGCTGGGAGAACCGCCCTGGGCTCTTTGTTGTAGTCTCTGCCACAGAAATGCTAGAATTCAGGGCCTGGTCAGAAGTGTGAGCAGGGTCCGCACTGATGCCCTTTTCCTGGGTCTGGTTGGTTTCTGGTGTGAATGGAGAGGCTGCCTTAATGCAGAGAGTGTCAGCAGACCTGGGTCTTGCTTTGTGTGACCCCCAGGGCAGGTTCTCCCTTCTCTCTTTCTCTGTGGCACTATCAAGCTGCAATCCTGATTTCCTCCGAGTCTGTGCAAGGCTTTGTTTTTGCAAGCTGAGGCTCAACTCCTCCTTCATCGACTGGTACAGCTTCTCAAAGGGAGACTCTGTGTCCTTGCTACTGTCAAAGCTCTGTGCCGAGGGTAAAGACTTTAGGTCTCCGCAAGGACTTGCGGTTACCCTGGAATTCTCCTTAGGACCCCTAGGAGTGGGCCTTCCTGCTTTCCCTCCATCGTTTCCCACTTGCTCTGGGGAACAAGCGTGAAGTAGCTGTGGGGCTGCTCTGTGCTCCGAGCCGTCAGGGGTAGCGCTGTCGCCCATGAGCTCCTTGCCGGGCTCCTGAGACCTTGAAGCAGTGACTTTTGAATGGGTTCTGGAACCTTGAGCTTTCCCATCTTGGCAGTAAATTATGAAATAAGAAACAGAAGTTCAACATTTTTCTCAACGATTAACCACTGTGGAATTCACTATCTATTATATCAAAACCTAGCTTCTCATTTAGTGCTCACAGTACTTAGTTGCCTAAAATGGGCAATACTATGATCCTGATACTCTGATGCAAATAAATCGTATTGCCTTCACTATATGTAAGGTAAAGTATGCTACCGATCCACCCAGAATTAGGGACAAGTGAATGTACAAGCTGTGTACACCTGAACACGACCCTGAGCACGGAACCCCAAAGGTCAGTAGGGGACGAGCTAGCTCAGCTTTCTGCCTTAGTATGACCTGTGAAAGCACACAGCCTCCTAGGGTTGGGGGAAAAAAAGACTTCACACTTGCATGCTCCTCCTGCCCCTCCCGTGAGACAGCGCGCCCACCCCGAAGGTCCCAGAACATGACCCAACCAGTACAAACCAGGGGGAGTAGAGAGGCTGGATCTGGAGGATCGCCGTGCCCGTGCCTGTCAGGTGGAAAAATAAAACAGCAGTGACTTAGCACCTTCCTAGTGCTGACATTCTTCGTAGTAAAATTGTTCTTATTAATTAGCTTCTGTGCCAAAGTTCTGTGTTCCAGAAATGGCCCAAATCATTTAGAAGCTTGTGGTCATGACACAGCTAGAGCTTCTTGGCTGACTGTATTTATGTACATAGACCATTAGAATACAAACTACAGGTTTAAACAGACACCGAAGCTCAGAGAACTTCCTTGAAGTTTATCCCCAACATCACATGAGAGAAGAACAAAAGCTAACATTCAACCTCACCTACATCTGCTAACTCAATATAGTACACAACTTCACACTGCCCGAGTTTCCTTAGAAATGGGCTCAAGGGTGTGTTGGTGAATTCTGTGGCGGCCTAGCCTGTGCTCTCCTGGCTGGCAGACAATCACTGTGTATGGGAGAGCCCCAAAGTTAGGGCCCACGTGGGAGCAGGACCCCATACGGCCACCTCAGCCCCAGCATCCCTAGCCTGCCCCAGCACACAGTGCCTGCATCTTCTTCCTATGGAACTTCTGTTGATTAAGGAAAAAATTATCCAAAAACCGATTACCAAAGATAAAGAAGATAGCTAATTCTCTCTAATTATTGTCTGTGAGGCTGTGGCAGGATTAAAAACTTCAATGCTTAATTTGAAGACCAGCATGAACTTGTTTCAAAAACAGCTCAAAACAAAACAGCTGAGCACCAGTAGCTCAGGCCTGTAATCCTAGCTACCCAGGAGGAGGCTGAGATCTGAGAATCACTGTTCAAAGCCAGCCCAGGCAGAAATGTCGCTGAGATTCTTATCTCCAGTTAGCCACCAGAAAACCAGAAGTGGCACTGTGGCTCAAATCATAGAGCTGAAGCAGCTGAAGGACAGCGCCCAGACCCAGAGTTCAAGCCCCATGACTGACAAAACACAACAATAATAACAACAAAACCTAGCCAGGCATTGGTGGCTCATGCCTGTAAGCCCAGCCTACAGGATGGCACTTCCAAGGAGGAGGGACTCATCATGATTAGTCTTCCTGTCTCCATTCAGTACTTTCCTCTCACCTGTGGACTCTGCTAAACTAGCCAACTTCGCTGGTTTAGCTTTGGCTTAGCCAAACTTCCTTCCTCTGTTGTTTTAGATACCAAATAAGACGATACCAAGTGGCAAATACTCCTATAGGAATGTTGCCCATGTTTTCAGTGACATAAACTGAGCTGTAATGTCTTCTCCCGATTTATCCAGCTTATTCCTGATGCAATTTTTCCATTCTCAAGGAATCTAAACTTCTATATGTTAAGATATGTTTAGCTTTTTCATTTATAAACAACTTCAAATTTCTAGATAGTTGAGCTAACTCTTTGTGGAAGATGGTAAGTTTTAATTTCAGGCTTCAATAGGAACATCTTATGATTGAACATCCAAAATGAACAACCAGAAAAACCTTATTAGTATAGAGACATGTGTGGTGACTCAATCCTATAATCCCAGCGACTTTAAAGCAGGGATCAGGAGTTCAAATCCCAAGCAAATGTTAGCCAAAACCCATCTCAATAAAACACAACAAATCAGCCAAAACCCATGTTGTATTTCACATCACCTGCTCCTGTCTTTTTCCTGGAAATTCATCTGGCTTGCTTTCATTCTGAGGACTTTCCTTTTCATACCTGCAAAACCCAGAACAAGAGAGACTTGGATGAAGGGCGTAGAGTCCGTGGCTCACGCCTATATATTGGGTTATATTCATAGACCTCCTAAGGAAGCAAGTCAGACTTTGTTCAGAGTATCATCTTACACACAGAAGTTTAGAGTTAGGAGAACGTCTTACACTAACAAATTACATAACTGTCCTTAGGTTTCTTTTGGGACACTGCCATCAGATGCCGACCTTCTACTGACTGGCCACCTGTGACTCCGCCCATGTTCCACACCCAAGGAGTCATCCACAGGCCCAGAAGGCCCATCAGCAACGTGCTCTTCACCCACACGGCAAAGTCACGTGCTTCCAGGTGAGACAAAGCAACCCTTTAGAACCATGAGCACTTATTGAGTCTGGATGAAACACTGCGTCTTATCAGGCCAGACAACTGTTCCTACAGGTCTCAGCAACCAAAGCATAGGTGTAATCCTTCATGATTCGCAAGGTAATTTCTGGTGCTTCAGTGAATAAATGGCCAGATTTGAAGTCAGATGCCAAGTAAGTAACATCTGAAATTATCAGATATTTTGGAACAGTTTCTCGTGATATCAGAGTACTGAATACAAATCTCTCTTCCTAAGACCCATTTTCTACTCTCTGTGGAGGGCATTTAATAATCACAACTGAATTATGTTTCTCTTTGGTGAACAGTTCATTCCAGGTTTATACTTCCTAACTAGAAGTTTATGTTTAATAAAGTGCCCTTTAAAATAGTACATAACAAAGAACATTCTACAATGATTTGACAGGTCAATCCAACCAGGTGCAAGTGGCTTGTGGGTATAATCCTGGCTCCTCAGGAGGTTGAGATCTGGAGGACTAAGACTCAAAGCCAGCCCAGGCAAACTCCACTAGACTTACCTCCAAAAATAACTAGCAAATACTCCTGATGGAGGCGTGGCAAGTAGAAGAGATCAGAAAGCAAGTGTGAGGCCCCCGATGCAAATCTCATATTGGCAAATAATAACAAACATGGTAACAAAAATGATCATAAAATTGTAAAAGTCACTATCAAGAAGATATTTCAATCAAAAGCAAGTTACCCTCCTCCACTCTTTCACTACTTTTTCAGGGAGACTGAAAGAGGATATTCTCTATGCCTCAGATCATATAATTGTATTATCAAAATGAAAAACAAGAGCCATTTGACAACAAGTTCCAAGAGCCAACATATGCCATAAGAGCTAAACAAACCTGAAATTACAGGATGGAAAATATTACACTAAGCAAGCCCTAATCAAAGGAAAACATTTTGGTACAGGCATGTGGTTCTAGCAGGTTCTGAGTTCAAACAGCCTCTACAGGACCAAATCGCCTTGCCTCTGCCTACTTAGGTGATCTCAAATCCCGGGCTCCCATCACATTTGACCCGCAGGTGTCATTCAGAAATCTTTAGGCTTGTACGTTATCAGCGTTGGAAATGAAGGTCTGAAATGTTTCGACATTTGCCAACATGAAAGTAGGGGCCACACTGAACGGGGACAGGGACACACTGTCCGCAGGCAGGGACAGCGCGATGTCTACCTCAGCCAGCCACTTGGCGCCTACCTGAAAGACCGGTCAATAATAGTGATGACATCGCCGTGTTTCAGGTGCACAGGTTTGTCAATGGCAGACCCATTCAGCTGGGTTGGATTTGTAGAACTGAAATTATATAATGTGGCCTACGGGTGGAGAGCAGGGGATATCTGTGATTAGCTAAAGGGCAAATAGGAAAGCTTTAGAAATGGTCTACCCCGCAACCCACTTACCTCCTGCCCGCTGACCTCAATTCTGCAATGCAGTTTTGATACTACAGGGAGCTGGATGCGAATATCACATTCGATATCCCTTAATGAAAAATGCAAAAAAGTATGTTTTTTTTGTTTTCACAACACTTCAGTTTTTCAAAATAAAACCAAATTTGGCCAGCATATGTGATCTGTAAATGCAAGACGCTAGCTAAGGCCAGTGATCTGTATTTCACAAACATCACACAAGAAGCAATTTTAGATCTTTAATACATAAAGTTCTTAGAAATTATTATTTTAGAATGAGAACACCAATTACAATTTAGAAATCACTGTTCAAAAGCACACATAAAGTATTTTATACTAATTCTGAAGAATATTATTTTAGTGCTTTAAAAAAAATAAATAAGCCTGTTTGTTTTATGGGTGTTTTACTCCAGCCTTCACAGCCCTAGCTCTCGTAGCACCTCTCTGTGCTTGTGTCTTCATATAGAAATAGATATTAGGTTATACTATATTATATGCTAGGTTTTATTATTCTGTATGTTGTTTTGTTGTGTCAAACAAGTAAATGAGCTGCACACATCATTCACATGTATGGCACAAACACCATTGTGTGGGAGCTTTTCACTGCTGTTCTAAAACCACATACTAGCCAGACATTGGTAGCTCAACCTGTAACTCTAGCTAATCAAGGAGGCTGAGATCTGAGGATCAAGGTTTGAAGCCAGTGATTCCAGCAGCAAAGTCAGTAAGACTTATCTCCAAAAAAAGCTGGAAGTGGGGCTATGACTACAGCAGTAGAATGCCAGCCTTGAGCACAAAAACTGAGACTGTGGCAGGCCTTGAGTTTAAGCCCCAGTACCAGTACACAGAATGAACCAACACACACATGCACACACACTCCACCTGAACTGATAGACTTGAGTCAATGAACATTAAAAATACTAATCTGCAGGCAAAAAAAAAACCTATCTAAATGTATTGGGCTCAAACAAAACTGAAACTCTTTAGTACAACTACTTAGAGATAATAAAAGTTACATTTATATACATAACTATACACATATATTTATCAATATAAACAATGCAAAAATATCATTGGGTGCCAGTGGCTTGTGCTTGTAATTCTAACTACTCAGGAGGCTGAGACAGATCTGAGGATCACCGTTCAAAGTCATCCCTAACTGGAAAGTCTGAGACTCTTTGCTAATTAGCCACTCCCCACACCCACACACGCATATGCATACAAAGACACAGCACACCGCACCGCACACGCACACACAGCTGGAAGTGGAGCTGTGACAAGTGGCAGAGTACTAACTTTGCTCAGGGATGGTGTCCAGACCCTGAGCTCAAGCCCCAGAATAGGAGCAAAAGAAAACAAGATGAAGAGAAAAGTATCTAGCTTCAACTTGCCCTTCCACAGAAGCTAGCATGGCAAAGCACAGAACTGATCATTCCTAAGTCTTTCTGTGAGCTACTAGAGAAAGGTTCACCGGTAGCTTCCGGGAGCTTGCTTCAACATCCAGAGGTGGTGGACATGAACTATGAACTGCTAATTCTGTTTCTCTTCCACATGAACCTCTAGAATCCAAGCATATTCCTTCCCTGAAGTCACACGACCAAACACGAATTCACAGACTACAATCTCTACTGTACAATAAATAAACCACCAAGTGACCAGATCTGAGAACGCCAACTTTACTTCTTTCTTTCTTTTAATCCTAGCTACTCAGGAGGCTGAGATCTGAGGATGGCAGTTCAAAGCCAGTCTGGGCCAGTAAGTCCCTCAGATCCTTATCAATTAATGTTCTCTCTCTCTCACACACACACACAGTCCCTCAGATCCTTATCAATTAATGTTCTCTCTCTCTCTCTCTCTCTCTCTCTCACACACACACACACACAGTCCCTCAGATCCTTATCAATTAATGTTCTCTCTCTCTCTCACACACACACAGTCCCTCAGATCCTTATCAATTAATGTTCTCTCTCTCACACACGCACCCGCGCGCAAAGCTAAGAGACAGCACCTAGGGCTTGAATTTGAACCCTAGTACTGTCAGGCACAAAAATTAATAACTGCAAGTGCCACGTATGCACACGGGCGCGCACACACACACACAGAGGATGGGGGGGAGCGCCGGGCCGGCGTCAGACCCCGCAGCCGGGCACTGCGGCGGTGACCCGAGGCCCCTCCCAGCCGGGCTGTCCCAGGCTCCGCCGGGGAGGCCGTCGGCGGGCCCACCTCTTCCAGGCTCGGGGAGACGATGTCTCCAGACTCCTGGGTGGCCGCCGTCGAAGCCTGACCAAGTCCAATCCCCGCCCGCCGTTCCCGGCTCCGGACCCGCACCCGGGCCCGGCCGCGCGCAGCCGGGGTGCAGGCTCCCAAGCGCCGTCCGCGCAGCCCGGGGTTTCGGTCGAACGCCCTG